TGAGCCTGTGCGAATTGTAGCCTCAGTTTCCTGTTCTTAGCTGACAGGAGTGGCACCCGGTGTGGTCTTCTGCTGCTGTAGCCCATCCGCCTCAAGGTTCGACGTGTTGTGCGTTCAGAGATGCTCTTCTGCATACCTCTGTTGTAACGAGTGGTTATTTGAGTTACAGTTGCCTTTCTATCAGCTCGAACCAGTCTGGCCATTCTCCTCTGACCTCTAGCATCAACAAGGCATTTGCGCCCACAGAACTGCCGCTCACTGGATATTTTCTCTTTTTCGGACCATTCTCTGTAAACCCTAGAGATGGTTGTGCGTGAAAATCCCAGTAGATCAGCAGTCTCTGAAATACTCAGACCAGCCCGTCTGGCACCAACAACCATGCCACGTTCAAAGTCACTTAAATCACCTTTCTTCCCCATTCTGATGCTCGGTTTGAACTGCAGCAGATCGTCCTGACCATGTCTACATGCCTAAATGCATTGAGTTGCTGCCATGTGATTGGCTGATTAGAAATTTGCGTAACGAGCAGTTGGACAGGTGTACCTAATAAAGTGGCCGGTGAGTGTATATATATATATATATATATATACATATATACATACAGAGAGAGAGAGAGAGAGAGAGAGAGAGAGAGAGAGAGAGAGAGAGAGAGAGAGAGAGAGAGAGAGAGAGAGAGAGAGCGAGAGAGAGAGAGACAGACAGGTCAGCAGAGGGGTTACCAGAGTAGAAGGTGTTTATCTTGGCCAGCTCCTTCTCGCAGGTCTGGAAGAACTTCTCCTCAAACTTGGCGTAGTAGCGCTTCACCGTGTCTTCATCTGTGACTGCACAGACAAACACACACTTTAATATAGACACACAGGCAGCAGGTTACACCGTAGCACACACACACACGCCAACCAGTAGCCGTGGCCCACCACCACCCAGCCAGGTTTATAGTGGCGTAGTGTGGTGTTCTGACCAGCAGAGGGCGCCGTCTGACAGCTGCAGGGTTGACCTTCACCTCGTTCCCACATGTTGGATTGAAGGCTGTGAACCTCAGCAGGGGATGAATATGAGGATGAATATATTCAAATATTACTGATATCTGTTGGTGTAAACTTAGTAGTCCACTAAGGGATTAGTAGTAGTTCACTAAGTGGTTAGTAGTAGTTCACTAAGTGATTAATAGCAGTTCACTAAGTGGTTAGTATTAGTTCACTAAGTGATTAGTAGTAGTCCACTAAATGGTTAGTAGTAGTCCACTAAGTGGTTAGTAGTAGTTCACTACGTGGTTAGTAGTAGTTCACTACGTGGTTAGTAGTAGTCCACTAAGTGGTTAGTAGTAGTCCACTAAGTGGTTAGTAGTAGTTCACTAAGTGGTTAGTAGTAGTTCACTAAGTGGTTAGTAGTAGTTCACTAAGTGGTTAGTAGTAGTTCACTAAGTGATTAGTAGTAATTCACTAAGTGGTTAGTAGTAGTTCACTAAGTGGTTAGTAGTAGTTCACTAAGTGGTTAGTAGTAGTTCACTAAGTGGTTAGTAGTAGTTTTGTTGGTATAGACCTTAGTTTCAAACCTTTTAATTAATTAATTTGATTCTGCACTTTATCCAAAATGCAGAATTAAATATCTATAGTTTATAAATCAGCAACCTCATGATATTTATATACATCTCAGTCTGGCCCAGGAAGACAAGACAGTTCTGGTGAGTCAGCCTCTCACACCCACACACACACACACACACACCAACCTACATAAAACATGCACACACATCAAAACACAGATAACACACCACAGAACACACTCACTGCACGCGCACACACACACACACACACACACACACACACACACACACACACACACACACACACACACACACACACACACACACACACACACACACACACACCCTAATCCTTCGCTTCTCCCTGATTCTGCACTTTCCCTGTCTGGCGCTCGTTATCACCATCATCTCCATCATCCTCCTCCTCATTATGGAGGTGTGTGTATAATCACCGCTGCTGCCAATCCCACAAGAGCTGCTGTTAAAGTCTCCTGCAGCCACACCCACCACTACAGGTCCTGGCCTGCTGCCGGACCCAGACAGGACCAGGCTTCACCTCAGTGTCCCCCATATCATCTATATCACATCACATACAGTATATCTAGAAGCACATCATCTATATCTAGAAGCACATCATCTATATCTAGAATCACATCACCTATATCTAGAATCATATCACCTATATCACATCACATATATCTAGAAGCACATAACCTATATCTAGAATCACATCATCTATATCTAGAAGCACATCACCTATATCTAGAATCATGCCATCTATATCTAGAAGCACATCACCTATATCTAGAATCATATCACCTATATCACATCACATATATCTAGAAGCACATCACCTATATCTAGAATCATATCACCTATATCACATCACATATATCTAGAAGCACATCACCTATATCTAGAATCATATCACCTATATCACATCACATATATCTAGAAGCA